AAACATAGGAACCCTTGGTGGGAATGTAAAATGGTACAGCCACTACAGAAAACATTACGGAGGTTTCTCAAAAAATTAAAAATACAGTTATAACATATGATCCGGCAACCCACTTCTGGGTATTTACCCAAAAGATCTGAAAGCAGGATCTTGAAGAGATATTAGTATTTCTGTGTTTATTGCAGAATTATTCACAATAGTCAAGAAGTGGAAGCAATCCAAATGTCCATCCAGGGATGAATGGATAAAGAAACGTGGTATATACAGACATGAAAAATTATTCAGCCTTAAAAAAGAATGAAGTTGGGGCTGGCCCTGTGGCCAAATGGTTAAGTTCATGTGCTCCACTTCAGTGGCCCAGGGTTTCACTGGCTCAGATCCTGGGCACAGACCTAGCACTACACATCAAGCCATGCTGAGGAGGCGTCCCACACAGCAGAACTAGAAGGAGCTATAAGCAGAATACACAACTATGTACTGGGGGCTTTGAGGAGAAGAAGAAAAAGAAATTGACAACAGATGCTAGCTCAGGGCCAATGTTTAAAAAAAAACAAAAAAAGAAGGAAGTCTTGTCACATGGCACAGGATGAACCTTAAGGACCTTATGCTAAATGAAATAAGCCAGTCACAAAAAGACCAATACCGTACGATTCCACTTCTATGAAGTATCTAAAGTAGTCAAACTCATAGAAACAAAAATCAGAATGGTGGTTGCCAAGGGCTGAGAGGAGGGGAAAATGAGGAGTTGTTCAAAGGGTGGAGTTTCAGTTTTGCAAGATGTGAAAGTTCTGGAGATCTGTCGCACAGCATTGTGAACATACTTAACACTACTGAACTATAAAAAAATAAAAGAGTCCTTATATTTCCAATTTAGACAGAGAAAACTGTGTGTACAAAATAATTTGACATTTGGGATTAACTTCAAAATAATCTGAGGGTTGGTTGTGGGGGAGGGTGGAGTTATACACGAAATAAGACTGCCATCAGGTGGCAATGCTTACAGCTGAGTGAGTTTGTTCATTTATATCATTTCCTCTACTTCTGTGTACCTTTGAAATTTTTCAGAATAAAGGTGATAAAAAAAAGGATTATCAAAATGAAAAAATAATTCACTAAAAGTACTAGATGAGAAAGTTGAGGAAATATTTCATAATAAAAAACACTAAAAGAGCATATGAAGGAAAGCTAAGATACATACAGGACCTCCAGAAGGTCATTCAATGAATGAGTCCCAGAAAGAGAAATAAACAAATGGAGAGCACAGCTAAAATAATGAGGTATTTTTTTGTCCATCAGATGGATGTTATTGCACTCCCACAACTGGTAGGAATACACATAAATAGGCACGGTCATTTGAGGGCATCAATTTGGTAGTATCTTAAAATTAAAAATTCTGATACCCATGACTGAAATATCTATTTCTCTTTTATCTACTGTAGGAAAATATTCATACTTCCACACATAGTAAATGTTCTTAAATAAGTGACTTTCTAATTTTTTTATATCAGCCACTACATATAAATATCTACAAAGCAACCAAAAATTAGAAATTCAACTTCCAGGAATGTATCCTATAGATACAGTTGTACGAGTGAACAAAGACAATTTTAAAAGCATGTTTAGTGAAGCAGCGCTTTTAATAGCAAAAAAGTGGGAAATCTCTCTAAGTCCATCAAGAGGAGTCTGGTTAAATTAAGCTGCATACAACGCAATACTCATGGAAAGAAATGAGGTATGTGCAGATATAGAAACATCTCCCAGATATATAATTAAAGGTAAAAATAATCTACATAACAATATATATTTAGTATTGTCTCATTTATATTTTTTAAAAAGAGATAGATTTTATATAGCTGGATAAAGAGAAGATAGATTATAGTTATATACACTTATATGTACATGAAAAGTTCTGAAGAATATAATATTAACAATACCTTTTGGGGTGGGTTCTATGTAAAGAAAAAAAGCAGTTAGAACAAAATGTATAGAAGGATTCAGTTCTCTGGTTCTAAAAGCTTAATTTGCTATGAAAGTGAAATACACTGTTCCTAGGATGAAGGAAATAAGAATTAACCTAGCTCCTCTTACTTCCGAAAGATAAAACTTTGGCTTCTCAGGCTCTGCAGTATAGTTAGACCTGCTTGGTCACTTTTTTGGCGCAGGAGGATGCAGTTAGAAAGGCATGCCCCTGGAGATTCAAATATACTTAGTGTCCTTGTAAGTAATTTGGCCTACTGCCATTGGCTAGCAGTGTATCATACCCTGTGGGAATCAAGGTCCTATGTGAGAAATCTATGCTCTTAGCAAGCCAGTCTTGATTTAGTTGGAAAATGTCTCCCAGAAACAAAGGAACACCCATATACATATGCCACTGAAAGAGATACTACAAGTATTCTCACTTTGCACGTGAGAACTGAGGCTCAAAGTTATGTATCTTAGGAAGCCCACATGTTCAAGTAACTAGGTTTGGAGATCTGACTGCATGGGAATTTCTACTTTTACATCCTTTTACAGAGCCTGCACATACACACTCAAGGATGTCGGGGGAAGAAACCTGATCCTGCAATGCCAGCCATGGTGGCTTCCGTTGTCTGGATTATGTTTAGCACGCATTTCTAAAACTGAAGCAGTACTCTCTGAATCCAAAGGGAGTGAGACAAAGACTGCAGAGGCCTCCCATTTTCAACCTTCCTTTACCTGTCTAATCCATACGAGCAGGCCTGTGACTCCCTGAATCACTGACATCATTACCACTATTTAACCTACCTTTACTTCATTACCAACAACATTCAAAGGCCCTGCAGGAGTTTTAATTTCAAGTAGATATTTTTAAATCTAAATTGAATAGCAGTTCCCAAAATTTTAAGTGCTGTATTTTAGTTGTATTACAGGCTCTTTAAATATTGCCTATAGCTAAAATACAATTCCAACTATTTCTGAGTGAAAAATTACAATTGCTGATGCATCAGTTACTTTGGCACACATCGGCTAAAATTCAGAACTGTACGAAAGCCATAAATCTCCTTTCCCCTATCTTGATTTACTGAGGCATATTTTTCACAAAAATCTATTTAGTTGTTAGTGCCCTTAGTGTTTTCACAAACTAAAGATCTTTTTGCAATCAGCTCTCAGGATATTCAGTATTCCAAGGACTTCTATGTTGCAATACCCTTACATCATTAAAACAAGCTTGTACTTCTGTATGAGGGCCACACGTTACCAGATACTTGTTTTAAAAAGTTCCTAACTGCTACCTAAACAGCTCTTCGCACTCCCTAGTGTGGAGAACGCTTAACATTGGGCCGGAGGACAGATTCGTAGCTTACCACCTGGCTTTTAATTCCTTTGCAGCTTCTGGAGTTAAACCGAGATTCCCAGCTTCTCTATGAAAAATGGATCACCAGTGGCCTCAGCAACCTGACTCATATCGTAAAACTCTTCTTGATAGTGTTTCCCAAGCTAATCAGTTAAAATTAAAAATATGTAGTTCGTTTGCATTTAATACTTGGTGTTTTTGAGTTGAGCAATTTTACATAGTTTTGATTCAGTTCCACTCAAATTCCTGATGTTTAAAATGTGGTTTTCTGGAGAGATCTGCTAAGACACAACAAGGTAGAATCAGGACTTGCATGTTGGAAATGAATGGTAGAGGAAGGGACCAAGGAATGAGGACTCCCACTCCCATGTTTGAATGACCGTGTAGCGGCATGGTGGGCCATAAAGTTAAGAGAACACAGAACAGAAGGGTTTTTGGGAGAAAAGACAGTTTTCATTTTAGACATGTCAACTTTGAGCTGTGTGAGGTGCAGATGTCTAGTATACAATCTGATGTACACAGAAATCCAAGTTGAAGGCCATTTTGGACACAGATGGTGAGTGAAGCCAGTGGACAGACAGTCCTGAGAAGCCAAGGCCTAGGCCCAAACTCAGAAGGCATCAATCTCATGACTGTAATCCTATTAAAAGTAGCACACATGAGAGCATGAATTTTCTGAAGGGAATTTTAGTTTGCAAAAACGCTCATTTACTTTTGTCAAGAATATTTCTGAAAATTCTAATACAAAATAAGACATATTTAAAAGGATATCCATCTGATGATAAAGTTTCAACAGGATGGATTCTCATCCCTCCAGCCCATTTAAATCTCAGCTATGCTACTACCAAGCTCTAGGACACTGGGCAAGGTCAACGTCAAAGCCTAGTTTCTGGATCCACACGATGGGAATAACAGCATTCAAAAAAAACACAGCAGAGCTAGAAGTTAAGCAGTGTTATTGTGCCAATCGGGGTTTGGCTAAATAAATGCGTCCTATTACTAGCTTCTCAGTCAAAGTTAATATAATTAATAAACTCTTCACATATAAACTACATCTTACTTACATGATTGACATGTAAGTAAAATATAATTCCAAGGAATATACAAAATACATGGCTATAGACATAATTTATATGTTAACCTAAACACCGAGTTTTTACTTTTAACCTTAAATCTAAAAGAGAAGACATCAGGGTCCATAAAACTTAAGGACCAATGTTTCCAAAACATTTAAAAACTTGCCGAGTTTACTCTTTAGTCTAAGGTCTTCCAAAAAGGAGGAATGATAACAGAGCCAAGGCTGGAACCAAGATCTGTTTTCCCTGAGTTATTTGCCCTCTAGTGCCCTAGGTCTGCAACCACCCCAGAAACCTTGTACATCCCTGTAGCACCCCGTATCAATTAGACTTTCTAGGGTAGGACCGGGATGTATGTTCTCTTTGGAAAAGCTCCAAACACGCAGCCAGTTACCCATCACTGTACACATTCATCAGTGGTATACGGTCTCACATATCATTCAGTTTTCAAGAGATGTCAAGTGGTCTCTAGGAAATATAATCAAACGTTTAGGCCACCAAAGGATATCCAACAACTTCTGATTATTCTACTTAAAACGCGGAATAAATTTCATAGCACAACTCATATTCCTAAAACCTGCCGGTACCATGAATAAAAGGCCACAGAATTTAACAACTGGTATCAATTTATTAAAAAGGTTGATTTAAGCATCTGCAATGGTGACTTCAACCTCGACTCCTGGCTCAATACTGATGGAAGTAATCTGCTTAACAATCTCAGAAGGACTGTGCAAGTCAATGAGTCGCTTGTGGATCCTCATCTGAAAGCGGTCCCACGTCTTGGAACCTTCACCGCAAGGAGTTTTTCTTGTTGTGATTCTCAGAGTCTGCAGCAAAAGACAAAGGAAACCAAGAATTTATGGTTTTACGCTTATCCTTAGGACACCTAAAAAACTACTCAGAAGTATTCCATCTGAAAATTTCTCAGGGCCCCATTCCTCTTTCTATAAATAGGTTTCCAGACTATCATTCGCGATGGCAGGTCCATTCACTCAGCCAGGCTGGCACCCTCGCCCCTGACTGTAAGGCACCATTCCACACCAAGAGCACAGCAGCAAAAAGACTTCAACGGTGTCCTCGAAAACTGAGTACTTACTCAATATGAACCAAATTCTACCACCAATTTTCATTTGGATTTATACTGTTACCATCAGTATATAAAACTCTTAGCAGCCAAACCCCATAGACGAAAAGAGCAAAAACGGATTTATCCAATAACCATGAAGACCTTCCTGCCCCTATGATTTATTTCACCTTGGTGGGCATCCGAACTGGTCCTTTCACTTTCAGATTCTTTTCCTTCGCGCCTCTGATCAAGTCAGCACACACTACGGGGAAACGAAAACACCTTTCAGTTCATTCAAAACAATCTAAGTTGGCTGAAGAAATTGAACTACTGCTGGCTCAGAATAGCGTATAAAACTATCACCGTAATTCAACACAGTAATTCTCTCCTCATCGCCAACCACGACGTAAAAAGCAGTAAACATTCAGCGCATCCTTCTTCCTTTACCTTTCTAACGTAAGCAACTTATCACTTCACTTCTAAGTCACTCACTCTCGTACAGTAACAAGTCAAATTCATCCATTTTCGCCCAAAGGTCTCACCCTGAAACTACTGTACAGACCCTTCTCCAAAGATTTGACGTTGCGGCTGGTTAGAGTAATTCTAATCCGGTGAATCGCCACCTCCGGCTCCACGGGTGTCTTTCCGGTGTCTTTAAAAGCCTGTTACCACACACAGGAGAAAAACGGCAAGTTTCTCAAAAGCCTGTCAATGCTGGAGAGGAGCTTCATCATGAAGCTCCCCAGGTTCCGCCCCGCGTCAGCAGCCCCCGAAGTGGTAAGTGAGCCTCGTTCTCACCGCCCGGCCCCATCCCGGCATCCGTCCCCAAAAGAGAGAGGGACCAGGACCGCGTCCCACCGCGCCTCGAACGGAGCAGCCGGCCCCCCGCCTCACCATGGCTGCGGCGCGGCTTCCTGACCGACTTGTCCCTCTGCGAGAGCGAACAGCGGTGAGCCAGGAGCAGGAGATGGCAGACCACGACGCAGCTGCAGCAGCGACCACGTCTTCCTCAAAGAGAAAGCCGTGCGGCCTGCGCAGCGCTTATATAGCTGCGCTCGCGTCTGCATCCGGGTCCCGCACGCTTCTCCGCGCTGCCCCGGAAGAGGAATTGCTCCGCGGCCGGTAGAGGCGGCTGCGCCAGCAGGGGCAGCGGCCCCCGCAGAGCTGGCGGAAAAGGCGCGGCTGCGGCCGCCCCCTGTCGGCTTGGCGGAGTCAGAGCTACCGCGAGGCGGGGTCCCCGCCAGCGCAGTCGCCGCGGTCCTCTGGCCACTTGGTAGAGATGACAGGGAGACTGCGAGCTGGCCTAAAACCTGAGAAAGTCCTTTGCCTGGTGCGCCAACCCCTGGCCTCAGCAAACCCAAAAGGACTGCTGTGGTTTTTACAGTGCAAATTTTGCTGCCCAGACAAGCCGAATCACTCGTTCTCCGAGCAAGTGGGTAACTTTTCTGAGTTTAACTCACGTGGATATTAGGCAAAATGACTGATAACTTGGGCATTTTTAAAAATTATTAGCTAGTTAGTTTTCATAGCCTAAAATATCCTTTCGTAGTTTTTCATCTTCTGGCTTCCCGGATCGGCAGAAGCATCTACAATGCGTTTCTGGAAAGGACCTGAACTTGTTCTCCAGGTCCTGGAAAGTGAGCGCGGCAGTGCCAGGCTGCCGGGATGATCCTTGTCCATCCGGAGGCCCAGCCTGGAGATCCAGACTATCTGCCTACTTCTAAAACATATCTCCCCTCTGATCGGATAAAGTAGCACTGAGTAAAACCTTGCAAGATCTCCCTAATACTGAGCGTCTATTCATAATCAAATGTGAGACCGACGTACTACAGTGGAAAAGCCCAGAGTGGTCAACAGACCTGCGCAGCCAGGAGAGAGAGCATAATGAGGACACACACTTAAAGATGACAGAGTGCTTAATTAGAACGAAATAGATGAAAAGGGTTTTGATACAGGGGAGAAGGAAGAGTAAAAACCCCATGTAGTTTTACAGGTGGACTGCTGAATGCAGAAGAATTATTTATTTGCTCAGACACACAGAACTGGTGAACGTCGGAGCTCTGATCTCTCCAATTAAGGGCTCTTCCTTGAGCCTTTCTCTTCTGTTCCTTGAAGGGAAATTATACTTGAAACTCTTATCAAATAATGGCATTGACTTGTTTGGTGATAATTGAGCATGACTAATAGCTGGCTTTCTTTGGCTCACAAAGAACATATACTAGAGCTGCCATTTAACAATTAATTTCAATATGGAAATTTGGATATTTTCCAGTTCAGTTATTTTAAAATGTCATCCATTGGCTGTAAATACTATATTAGTAAAATTTACAGCAGAAAATCCAAAAGTCTGCTTTCTTGTTTTACTAGCCGTAACCGGAGTCTTCGTAACTTAGGGCTTTAATTATTGGTATGGCTACCAGCAACAAGTGGACTAAAATGCAGTTGCCCAAGCCACCTGGGATGTGATCCACCACCACTGTATTAGTACTGAAGGTTAATATGTCTTCAGAGAAAGCTTAGAGCAGCTTTCAAACATGACTAATGCTCAAAGGACTACCAGAAATTCAGTGACGGACAGCTTGAGAAGTACATTTGTGATTTTTTTCAATAACAAATCTGGTACATCTGTTCTTAGGCTTGCCTTCCCCTTCAAGTACTGGAGGAAATGGTGAACAAATTAACCACCTTGACCATAGAAAAAAAATTTCAGTATAGAAAGAGACAAAATATGTCCCAGCATGTATGGGAAAAATTGTTGATGTGACTGGAACTAAGGAAACAGCTGGTCGAGATACTATTACACAAATGTAATGAAAAACATCACTATTTTAAAGTTTATAAGGTTTAGTTTCAAGCAGTTTGTTGTATTTTTTTTAAGTTAACAGCTGCTGTAGTCCCCAAATTTCAATAAAAAATGTAATGTTCTAATATTAGATGTAAGATATTCATTGGAGAAAAAGTAAAAATTGGCAGTAAGCACAAAAGAGAAGAAAATACAGAATGCCATCATTCAGAGATAAATCACCTGTTTATACATTCAGATATGTGTATATCTTTAAAAAATGAGTTCATACTCTATATACAGTTAGTAAGCTGCTTTATTCACGGAATATTTTATCACAATAAATATACTTCTGCAACATTCCTTTTAATGACTGAATTGTATGGATGGTTCATTCATAATTTATGGAACTAGTCTGAGTGTCTAGTGTTTTCCCACTTTTCGCTCTTACAAACAATACCGTGAGGTACACGCTCTTGGGCCAGGGTTTCTCAGTCTCAGCACAATTAACATTGTGGTCCAGGAGATTCTTTGTTGTGGGGGGCTGTCCTACACACTGTAGGATGCTTAGCGGCATCTCTGCCCTCCACCCTGCCTGCAGCAACCCCTCTCCTCCTGTTGTGACAATCAAACATGTCTCCAGACATTGTCAAATGTCTCTTGTGGGGCAAAATCACCCCCAGTTGAGAAGCATTGCTGTAGATAAATCTTTTAACTCATCCTTAATGCCTTATATCAACTACTAGTTATACTGGTTCTTTGATGATTTAATCAAAGAATAAGCATATTTTAAGTACTTTGGTATTAAGTAAATTACCTTCTGGGAAGATTATAACCAAATAAATCCTTCTTTCAGCAGTATAAGGAAGACTTTAGTGTGAAAAAATAGAATGAAATATCTGTTTCATTTTAAAATCTAAAAATATTCCTAAAACCATTACAGACTTTATGTTTTCAAGATCTCTATCCACAACCTTCCTTTACTAATTTCTTTAGTTCTTTTAGAATTATCTTGTAAAGACTTTTTCTGCGGGCATCTGTGTCTTTCTGTGGACAAGCCATCTACTGGTCTTGTGCTGCAATGACAGTGTCATCATACTACTTTGGAAAGGAAATTAACAGCAGTTAAAAATTACTTAATTGGTGGTAAACATATGTATATTTATGAATAAAATAATAAAGGCAAATTGTCAAATGAGTGTGGATAAGTCTGTTTAGACACTATTTTATTTGCAGAATTTTTTATCTAAATAAAACATGTTAAAACTCTTCAGTCTGAAATTTAATAATAAAAACCAGAAAGAGTTTAAAACTTTCTCTATGGTTACCCATGTTTTAGGTAGGGGAGTGAAATGTGGAAGCAATTCCCTGTGGGTTACCAGTATTACATGTGAGGACTTAGAACAGTACTGGGCATGTGCTAGTAGCCAGCACTACCTGAACTAATATCCATTTCTTTGATCCTCACAACAACCCTAGGAGATGAGTACTGTTATTCACATTTTATGTGAGGAAGCCAAGGTTAGGTAACCTGCACCAGGTCACAGAAAAAGCCTGTGTCTGAACCCATGCAGTCTAACTCTAGAGTCTGCAACCTTAGCCATTAGGCTATACTGTCTCTCAGTGTGTGAGCTCTTATCTTTATCATTAGTCATGATGCTACATCTGAGAGGTGTAAAATCCTGCTATGTTAGATAACATGACATAGAAGGGCTTTATATATTTCACTTTAGTCGAGGTCATAAATTTTATTGAGCTACTACTATGTGTCCATTATAAGGTAGAATCCCCATTTTTTAACTCTTTCATTTTTTAGTTTGAAGTTCCATCGGTACCTAAGCCCAATGAACTCTATTTGCTCATTAGAATTCTTTCACTAAAGTGAGCAATGGAACAGAACTAGGTCTTTTCACTGAGAATGATTCACATGGAACATGCACTGACTTGGGAATTTTCAATCATATTTAACTGCTGAGCTCACAGAATTGCTGGTAGGGGTGGGAGCTGAATGTCCTATCCGCTAGGTCTCATGGCACCCATTTCTGCTTTTTCCTTATCCTGTACCTGGACCTGCAGGCCTAGAGATTCTAATGTTTCTTGAAATACAATCTGAAAAATTACTGGCCTACTTCTGTCACGGTGCCATTTCCTAGCTTTAGCAGATAAACTACTATGCCCACACTTTTGTGATCCTGATATCATGCAGGGGAGCCAGGGATATATTTATCGATCAGTCACTTGTTTCTGGCTTTGTGCTTTTGTGTTGTGTAGAATTAGTACAGCTTTTTAGAAAGTATTTCTATCATCTGCCTCTCTTATGAGAAGATCGGCATCTATGGCTTTCACCACTTACAAATTCTGGGGCATTGATTTTGTGCGGTGGACATCCTGAAATATGGTCCCCAGTGATCCCCACCACTTATTATTCGTGCCTTTGTGGAATCTCCTCCTCTTGAGAGTGAGGATCTGTGACTTGCTTCCAAACACCAGAATTTGGTGAAAGTGCTGGGATACCACTTCCATAAATAGATTATGTAAGGTTCTGACTTCTGTCCTCCTGGCAGACTCTCTCCCTTGCCAGCTTTGATGAAGCAAGCCACCACGTTGGGAGCTGCTGTATGGTGTAGGGGAGAAGGAACTATTCCTCTACCCTCTAAGTCCTTCTGGCTGATCTAAGAGTTAAATTGACATGAGACAGAACAACAGGAGAAAATCAAAGTTTAATATATATACATGGGAGAAACCCAGGAAGACTGAGTAACTTGCCAAAATGGCAGAAGCCACTACCTTAAATATCATCTTCAGCTAAGGACAAAGGAGGATGTTGGGAGTAGTGTTTTGGGACTTCAAAGGGAAGGAAGGCAATTTACATAGAGATGAAAAAGCAAATATTGGAGCTGGCCCAGTGGTGCGCTCCACTTCGGCGCCCTGGGGCTCGCCAGTTGGGATCTCGGGTGTGGACCTACACACGGATTATCAAGCCATGCTGTGGCAGATGCCCCACATATAAAATAGAGGAAGATGAGCATGAATGTTAGCTCAGGGCTGGTCTTCCTCTGCAAAAAGAGGAGCATTGGTGGCAGATATTAGCTCAGGGCTAATCTTCCTCAAACAAACAAAAAAAAAGCAAATGTTTGATAAACAAATGTTGACCACACCTTGTAAAAACAGTGAGAGGTGGAAAGGACCTTGATGAAAAAGCCCTTGTTAGGTTCCTGCCTGCCTAGCACACCTAGTTTGTATTTTACTATAATTATCTTATAGTGTTAGCTC